GCAATGCCAGATAACTCAGCTAGTAATTCATAAAGGAAGGAAGCTCAACTTATTAAAACAGAAGTGTGAAGTAAACAATGGACATAATACAACATTCAGTCCTTTACTTTACAAACTTAATCACGTGTACTCTTGTACATAAAACTGTCTTATTATTAAGTCTAATACACAAAAAGTTTATAAAAATTACGTCATTTGTGAAGATGTTTTACAGTAAAATACCCCAACTTTGTTCAAAGTATAGTATGTTAAAGCAGTCTTGCACTATAAATTACCAAATGTTATCTTTCTGGTGGATGATTCAAGTACTTAATCATAGTTCATAAAATTTTAAGCCTTACAATACAAAATCATTATCAGAATCCCTGCCTCTGGATAACAAAACTTTTATTTTTTGTTAAATAAAAAAGTTAAAACATATTTGTCACTGTCACCACTTATTACAATGAATCTTAACACATTAGTATATTAGATGCATCATGAATTCACACCTGCCTACATTCATTCCCTTGTGCACTCTATGACAGGACAATTTCAAGCAGTTATCAAGTTCAGAGGGGATACAACCAAATATTAAAACAAGAAACAATCTCTGAGGGCACTCAGAAAACATTTTTGTATTTGTCGTTCATCTGCTGTAAAATGTTTTTGACAGTTTACCTGTTAATAAAGATGTATGTGTGTGTCTGGATGAATGACATATGCATCAGCTTACATCACACAATATCCATAACCATTTTACACTAGTTCTGGAATTTCAACAAAGCACAATCTCATAAAAAAATTAAAGGAACAGAGAAAAGTGTGAAAAAAATTTGGTGATGTGATAAGTTTTTCTAGCATTGTAAATATTTATTACAGTATCCCAGCTTACAGATATAATAAAAAATAAAACACAAATATGAGTTATATCTTCTGATAGTTATTTTAAGAATCACTTTAGAATATAAGGCATGACAGAAGCTATTGACATACTTTTAAAAAGTAATAAGAGGTTAATATAATTCTTAGATAAAGACAAATTATGGTACAGTTGTTAGGTTTATCTTCGGGTTGTTTTTATTGACCATAAGTAAGCATAAATTCACAAAATCTAAAGATATTACTCTTTCTTTAGTTGCTTTGAGGATAGCAAAAATACACAAAGATCACAACAATCCTCTTTTATATTCTCAGAAACTGACTAATAAGCAAGAGAACACACAACCTCATACATTTATTAGTATGAATGTGATACAAAAGAAGCTACATATATCAAAATATCTTTTATATGCATTTATCCTTAAAAAATACTCTAATAACCAGGACGTATGCAACAGCACCAACCTCTTGATGAAACGAAACAGCTTGAGCAAAGTTTCCTAATAGATAGTACGTATTTCCCAGGTTTCCACAGGCACGTCCTTGTGCAGATCTGTCACCTAGCTCTTTCATTAGCATCATATTTTGTCTGGAAGGTAAAAATACAAAATATTACTTACTACAAAAGATAGATTTCTACAATAATAATTACTAATTTTGTTATTTAAAAATGTTTTAAAAGCTTTTGACAAGTATTACATTGTAACATTTCGATTATAAAGGAAAGACTGATCTATAATGATGTAGTTTAAAATTCCCCAAATGGATTGTCAGTTGACTCACACCAAAAGTTTAGAGATAATTGAAAATAAAAACTTTGATAAAAAAACACACAATAACGTTACTTAAAAGTAATGAGTCAGAAATAATAATTAGATAAACTAAGCAAAAAAGAACTAGTTTTGGTGCAGGAGCTTTAAGAAAGGTCACCGAGATTTTGTAATATTACTCTACCCACTTTTTCTCTGCCGTAATAAACTAACAATAATCTACAAGCCAAACAACCTACAGTATAACGATGAGTACAAAGCAATGATCTTTTTTCTATCCAATGTTTTTAAATTATGCATCTAACCATTGTTTTACCATAAACCTAAGTTGTTATGTTTTTGAAAGTTGACAAAAAAAAAATAATAATTCAAATGATGTTACTTGTGCAACAGAAGGTTATTATAAGAGAGATTGTGTCTGATCTGGTCTTTGGATAAAAAAACAAAAACTAAACTTATGATGAAAAAAAATTATTTTTAAGGATATAGTTCAAATTTACAAATACAACACTGGCAATGGATTCATGATAAGGAAACGAAGGCTAATAATGAAGATGAAGACAGTTGACAAAACACAAAACATTTTATTTACAAGGTTAGAATGTTTCAAAATATACTTATTCTATCTTCAGCAAAATTTGAAAATAGTGTTACAAATATATTTAACTAAAACTATAGTATCATTAATCAGTAGTTAACTTAGTTATTGAGTAAAGTAGTAAATGGAAGGATAAAACAAAAACAATTATAAATATATTGCAAAACAGTTGAGTTTTAAGTGTGTAAACTTAGAATAATTTTTAGATCAAGAGAGATTTGTAAGTCGTTAAGAGTAGGACAGTCTTTAGCTACGAGTAAACTTTCAAGGTCTGAATATCCTGTAGTAATGACAGAGAAATCGTTAAATGAAATGTTGTGAATCATGGTTTCAGCCCATGAATGGATGGATGAGTGGTTGGTCAGTTCTGTTCGATACTCCTAGATGTTCCACTCGAAAACTAGTCTGTGAACATTTAGGAGTATCGAACAGAACTGACCATCCACTACTGTTTTGCTATAAATCTATAATCTTTTTTGTTTTATCCTTCCGTTTACTACTCTACTCAATAACTAAGTTATCTAATGATTAATGATACTATAGTTTTAGTTCACAAATATCTTTGTAACACTTTTTCCAGATTTTCTTGACGATGGAACAAGTGTTTTGAAAAGTTGAAACCTTGTAAATAAAACGTTTTGTGTTTTGTCAACCGTCTTCATCTTCATTATTAACAAATATAAGTTTGAAGCTTTCATTTTTTTGTTAGTTTTTATAACAAGATACAACACAAATATTTATTTTTTAGTACAAACTATGACTATTCTTAAACATGAAAAAATTATCTAACAAAATACACAACTTACTCATAGTACTCCACTGCTTTTTCTAGGCACACCTTCACCTCTTCAGGAAACTCTCCTGGGTCCTGCTGACCTAAGCGAGCCATGTGTTTACCTTTAACATGATACACATTTCCAAGGTTGTATAGAGCCCGACCTTCACCAACCTATCAGAAAGAGAAAAATTGACAAGTTAGCTACAAAGTTAACTTGCTGAGAAATACCGGAACAGAATTCCTAACAAAACAACACAAGTCCAGACACCAAACTGAAAATCTTAATATCGGAGTGATATTATCTTACAAGTTAAGAAACAATTGTAGTTTAATTTCATATTAATCAGTTTTAAGGTTCACAAATCATTTAATAAGAAAAACAATAAAACATAAAAAAAGAAACTTTTAAAAATGACTCTACATGCAAAAAAAAAGTTAAGAGTTCAAATATTATCCTGAATTTAGGTTTTGTGGATTCATAATCAAAGTATGTTCATATAGATTACTTAATTGTTTTAGTCACGAAATTTCAGAAATAAGCTATTAACTGCATACTTTTAGCATCATATTTACTTTCCTTCTTTGTATTATAAATACACTTTCTCAATAAGACTGAAATGCATTTTTACTAAATGAAGGAAATAGTAATACTTTATCAAGAACAATGTTTAGCCTGACTTTTTTTGGTAAGTTTATAAAACAAGACATTTCTTTTTTTTCCTTTGATTCATTATGTGTATGTGTTTTTCACTAATTAGCTGTACCTAAGATATGGAGAAAAAAAAAATCTTACAACAACTGATGAAAGTAAAACAATGTTTTTCCTACTGAAAAAATTGTTTTTATAAATTACTGCTTCTCAGCAAGAGAAAACATATTACCTGCAGCATTACAGAAAAAAAGGAATGATCTATACTATTTATGTGCATCCAGGATTTAATACAGGCAGCTTCCTATATTTCTCAAAACTGCTCAGGAAAATCAAACTAGTAGCATTATTAATAATTTCTATTTTCATCCTAGCCTAATTACCAAGTTACTTAAAGTAATAAAAGACAAAGAACATTTTGCCTACTGCAATAGAGTTAACAACTTGTTTCCAACTCAAGTATATTTATTTGTTCTTTTACTAGAATAAACGTTTTTTTCTTTTACTTTTACTCCATAGTTGCATATTCAGCCACTGTTGGAACTGATCGTATATGTTAATCAAAGAATAGTCTATAAAAAACATCTATCCTATATTAGTAATAAGTGGCTTAGCATTAAATATAAGAGGAAAAAATACTTCACAAACTGTATTTAATATATGTTAAAATAAAATGTTAAAAATTGAATCTTTCATCTCATTAGGGTAGATTTTGATATTCAGTAACGCATAAATTCCCTTTGTGGAAACCCTGTACTTATTAAAAATAATTATCTACAAAACCTATCTGTCTCTTTAACTCTCTTACATATAATAGAGACCCAAGCACTATTAATGTAAATTAAAGCTTCTAGCTCATCATGCTTCAAATTCAAAGACACAATTCTAAAATTATATGTTGACCATGAACAGATGTCTTCAGATTGAAAGAACCATATTATTATGTGGTTGTTTGAAAACCATCAAAAGTAACAAATACAGAAGTTAAATGCAGATAATAAAATGTGAGCATATAACCTAACTAGCTACTGTAAAAAAAAAACTTACTGTGATGTCCATGTAACATGAGTATCAAAAGCTGTATGGTCAAGTCTTTGAGCAGTTAAGTTACAAAATCTACCAGGATTACATATATTTTTAGTTAAAACCATGAAAACATTTCTATTATATTATTTCTTACCCATTCGTAAAGTATTGTTTAAGATGCTAACACTATTGTTTTAAGTAACTTACAAAATCCGTCATAACTTTTATGTTTACCTCAAGTTATTTTACTTGTTAACACCCAAAAACTACTACTAATTTACAATTAATAAATTCCAAAAGGACTAAAGAATTTCATATGTTGATACCCAAAACTACTACTAACAGTAAATAAATATTAAATCCAACAGGACTATGAATCTCTCTGTCATGGCTAAAAAACAACTTTTGAAAGTTTATAGTTATTAAATACAGCAACATTGAGAAACCTTCATTAAGACCCAAGATCTACTTCTAGAAATCAATATTTAGAAAACCACTGACCTGTAATAATTTTTCCTAACTATTATAATAATACTAATTCTAACTATTACTATAACAAAATCCATTAGAATTAAACTGATATAATAATTAAAATTAAATACAAAATAATTACAAACTATTTTGGTTAATATTTTAGATTTAGAAACCACACTAATAATTACAGGTACAAATAAAAAAAGTTTTACTACAGTACATCTTTTGAGAGTTTTTAATATAATAATAATAATAATATAT